GCACTGGCTGTGGCCAGGGTGGCTGCTGTGGAGGCGTGAGCTGCCGCACCAGGTGGTGCCGCCCTGACTGCCGCGTGGAGGACACCTGTGTGCCCCCCTGCTGTGTGGTGAGCTGCACCCCCCCAACCTGCTGCCAGCTGCACCATGCCCAGGCCTCCTGCTGCCGCCCATCCTACTGTGGACAGTCCTGCTGCCGCCCAGCCTGCTGCTGCTACTGCTGTGAGCCCACCTGCTAAAAAGCCAAGTTGCTGATTTTCAACTTGAAGTTTCAACTTCCAACTCAATCCATGAGCTAATTATCTCTTCAACACCCCCGGATCAAGTTCTCGAACTTTTATTTGGCTTTCGTTGTGGGGCTACCAGATACTTGAGCCTCACAGACCTATCTCCCTCACAGACCTTGGTCTCCCCACTGAGGCAACCAAAATACAAATTTAACTCTCAAGAAATGGGAAAACCAATTTGCGTTGCGATTGACCTTCAGCAAGTACGCAATCCCACGCTCCAGGCCTCAGTGCTGCCAAGGCTGTGGAAGGACTATCTGTACTTCTCAGATATGTTCACCTCCTATACTCCACCATCCTGCAAACTGAACTTCTCATAAAAGAGGAATGCTATACCAAGGTCTAATAAACTATATCTACCTGGTGCAGCAGACATATCTCTTTTTCTTCATTGAGTGTACTCATGATGTTTATTTCATAGAAAATCATGCAACATATTTTAATTTGGTTTTGCTATTGCACACTGCTCTTCCTACACACTGTTAGGAAATTTGATCAGATCCAATGGAGGTTAATCCCCATAAAAAGATCCAGCGAAGGCAGTTCAAGGGCCTCAGAGATGGCACCACTCTGTGACCATATCCTGACCTCACACAGTGCTTTCACAACCAGAGAGCTACAGAAGTCAGGACCTCTGAATCCAGCACCAGGATATGAGTTACTTTTCCATATCTGTTAGAGGGATGCTCTTTTGTGTAATCTTCAAACACTGGTAGTGTATGCTCAGTGCCATGTGCACATGGTCTTGCAGAGTAAACCAACAGAACTACAAGTTGGGAAGCCTCTCTGAGGAAATATGCTTTGAATTAGATGTAGATTTTTACTCCAAAAACTTTTCTTCCCCAGTTTCTAAACTGAAAGTGAGGATAACAAAGATTTTGCTCTGTTTTTAGAATCAACGTAAGTACTTTGGCTTAAAATGTATACTTAACAGAACTATATATTTATTATACATATACATGCATTTACATAAAATACACATATATGATGAATTTATACACATTTAAACACAAGTATCACAGAATACTTCACAAATTTGGGTGTTTTTGGGGAAAGGATCAGGATTAATTCCCGGTTTCTTGGCATTAGAACTGAACAAAACTGAAGGTATTCTTTTTTATTAAGAATATTACTTTGGCCCAGCTGGCATGGCTCAGGGGTTGAGCATCGACCTAGGATCCAGGACATCGAGATTTGATTCCCCATCAGGACACATGCCCGGGCTGCAGGCTTGATCCCTAGCAGGGGGTGTGCAGAAGGCAGCCGATCAATGACTCTCATCATTGATGTTTCTGTCTCTCTCTCTCTCCCTCCCTTCCTCTCTCTCCCTTCTTCTCTCTGAAATCAATAAAGATATATTTAAAAAAAAAAAGAATACTACTTTGGCTCTGGCCGGGTGGCTCAGTGGGTTGGAGCATCATCCTGTACACCAAAAGGTTGCGGGTTTGATTCTCGGTCAGGGCACATACCTAGGTTGAGGGNGGTTTTGCTATTGCACACTGCTCTTCCTACACACTGTTAGGAAATTTGATCAGATCCAATGGAGGTTAATCCCCATAAAAAGATCCAGCGAAGGCAGTTCAAGGGCCTCAGAGATGGCACCACTCTGTGACCATATCCTGACCTCACACAGTGCTTTCACAACCAGAGAGCTACAGAAGTCAGGACCTCTGAATCCAGCACCAGGATATGAGTTACTTTTCCATATCTGTTAGAGGGATGCTCTTTTGTGTAATCTTCAAACACTGGTAGTGTATGCTCAGTGCCATGTGCACATGGTCTTGCAGAGTAAACCAACAGAACTACAAGTTGGGAAGCCTCTCTGAGGAAATATGCTTTGAATTAGATGTAGATTTTTACTCCAAAAACTTTTCTTCCCCAGTTTCTAAACTGAAAGTGAGGATAACAAAGATTTTGCTCTGTTTTTAGAATCAACGTAAGTACTTTGGCTTAAAATGTATACTTAACAGAACTATATATTTATTATACATATACATGCATTTACATAAAATACACATATATGATGAATTTATACACATTTAAACACAAGTATCACAGAATACTTCACAAATTTGGGTGTTTTTGGGGAAAGGATCAGGATTAATTCCCGGTTTCTTGGCATTAGAACTGAACAAAACTGAAGGTATTCTTTTTTATTAAGAATATTACTTTGGCCCAGCTGGCATGGCTCAGGGGTTGAGCATCGACCTAGGATCCAGGACATCGAGATTTGATTCCCCATCAGGACACATGCCCGGGCTGCAGGCTTGATCCCTAGCAGGGGGTGTGCAGAAGGCAGCCGATCAATGACTCTCATCATTGATGTTTCTGTCTCTCTCTCTCTCCCTCCCTTCCTCTCTCTCCCTTCTTCTCTCTGAAATCAATAAAGATATATTTAAAAAAAAAAAGAATACTACTTTGGCTCTGGCCGGGTGGCTCAGTGGGTTGGAGCATCATCCTGTACACCAAAAGGTTGCGGGTTTGATTCTCGGTCAGGGCACATACCTAGGTTGAGGGTTCGACTGCTAGTCAGGGTGCATATGGGAGGCAACCGATAGGTGCTTCTCTCTCACACCAATTGTTTCTCTTTCTCTTTCTCTCTCTCTTCTCCTTCTCTCTCTCTAAAGTCAATAAACATATCCTTAGGTGAGCATAAAAAAAAGAGTATTACTTTGGTTAAAATTACAATGCTTTATTCATTCAAGGGTTAATAAAAAAATCAAGTAATTAGAAAGCATGAATAATGGGTAAGGTGTAAGCAAAGAATCTCCCCGACGCACTAACTAGAGACCTGATCCAATCTCAAAAACATGCCTGGAACAACAGAACAGAAATGAAGACACATTTGTCCCCTTAATCCTTTGAGTCTAACTACTGACCACTTCCAGGTATCACTACCTAACAGCTCCAGCTGAGAAAAACAAAAGGACAGTGACTTTGGTAGGAGGCAGATTTGGATGTTTTCATTACCATACACTGCTAACCATTCATTCCTTCTTTAACTCAACAAGCACATACGGAGCGACTACACGCAGATGGCGCGGAAGGTCCTATCTAGGAAACCGAGGTGAGCCAGACAGGCAGATGGTGCCCTTAAGGAACGAATGATCTGGTGGAGCAATGCCACAGCTTTAGGCCTAGAGGTGTCTGCATTCCCACCAGCAGTGTACCAGGGTGGCCTTTTCTCCACACCCTCGCCAGTACTGGTTGTTTGTTGCTTTTTAAACCTTCCACCTAACAATACGGAAGGGTCTGCCTCTTTCTTTGGTCTCTCCTTGCCCTTTGGGTATGTCGGCCAGTTTGCAAACTAAAAGCAGCACTAATCACATAGCCAAAGGTGAAAACAAAACAAGGGTGGGTTGATGAATGAATGGATAAACAAATTGTAGTGCATACATACAAAGGAATATCCCAGATGGCAGAGGGGGTGGGGGCGGGCAGGACTGGATGAAAAAAGGTGAAAAGATTCGCCAAAGGACATATACGTAGCCCAAGGACACAGACAAGTGTGGTGAAGGCTGGTGGGGCTGGGTGGAGGTAGGCCAAGCAGGAGTGAATAGGGGACATCTGTAATAGTGTCAACAATAAAATTTTAGAAAGAAAGGAAATTCTGACACATTCTAAAACATGGATAACTCTTAAGAATATTATGCTAAGTGAAATAAGCCCGTCACAAAAAGACAAATATTGTATGATTCTACTTGTATGAGGTATTAGGAGTGGTGAAGTTCATCAAGACACAAAGTAGAATGGTGGTTGCCAAGGGTTTGGGGAGGGGAGAATGGGAAAGCTGTTTAATGGATATAGGGTTTCTGCTTTGCAAATAAAAAGGATTCACAATGTGAATTTACTTAATACTGGGTGAGCTGTACTCTTAAAAATGGTTAAGATCGTAAATTTTATGTGGCTTTTACTACAATTAAATTGTTTAAAAATAAATATATATAGGAGACCCCAACTTTACTGAATTAGAAGATATATGTGTATGTATGCCTTTGTACTGTTTTACTTGTTAAAATGTGTGTTCACTGCTAGCATACATTTTTACTTAGTACAATCAGAAAACAGCCTACAAGCTAAAGTCACCAAGAGTCTCAGTTGGGGATATGTACATTGACAACAAAGACAAATGCCCTCGAGAGCCCTGGGGACCCTATAACTCGTACGCGCTGACCACAGAGAGGCATATTTCTATGTTGATGAATCAAGTGAGCACTCACGATGACACTACTGTTAGTTATTCCAAGTCTAGACAACTTGTTTATGAAATCATGGTCCTAACTGAGTGACCACCTATAAGGATACGTTCAGTTTAAACAAACTCTGCCTAAAGGTTATCAAAGGACAGGTTCGACAAAGCAAGCCAGGGCAGTGGTTGGCTCAAGTTTTGTCTCTCATGTGACTAACATAAAGAGGAGCTGCCATGATTGGCTTCAAAAATGAGCCTTCACTTGATCCACGGGGCAAAGACGAAACATAATGAGACTTAATTGAGCAATGACCAAAACAGGCCATTGAAATGCTATTTATAACTTTCTAAACAACTCAGGTATTAGCCAATCAGAGACTGACTTTGCAAATAGTGTCAAGGAAATATGCTAAATTTTAGGGAATTAGGTGTCTCAAAGGACTATATAAAAGGCCAGATGTAGAAGGTGCAGCCAAAACTCAAAAACATCTCCTAACAACACACCTCTCAACTCAACTCCTGACACCATGGCCTGCTGTCAAACTAGCTTCTGTGGATTTCCCAGCTGTTCCTGTGGGCCCTGTGGCTCCAGCTGCTGCCAGCCAACCTGCTGCCAGCCCACCTGCTGCCAGACCAGCTGCTGCCAGCCAACCTGCTGCCAGCCCACCTGCTGCCAGACCAGCTGCTGCCAGCCAACCTGCTGCCAGACCAGCTGCTGTGGCACTGGCTGTGGCCAGGGTGGCTGCTGTGGAGGCGTGAGCTGCCGCACCAGGTGGTGCCGCCCTGACTGCCGCGTGGAGGACACCTGTGTGCCCCCCTGCTGTGTGGTGAGCTGCACCCCCCCAACCTGCTGCCAGCTGCACCATGCCCAGGCCTCCTGCTGCCGCCCATCCTACTGTGGACAGTCCTGCTGCCGCCCAGCCTGCTGCTGCTACTGCTGTGAGCCCACCTGCTAAAAGGGAGGTTGCTGATTACTTCAAGAATGAAAAGGGAAGCACAGGAAAACTGCCTTGATCTCTGAAGAAGTGTGGACTTTACTTGGATGCTAAGTATCAGGATGTTTCTAAGCCGCTGAGAAATAAGTCTGAGGGCCCTCCTGAGTTGCTGAATTAGCCCACTGAAAATGTGTATCAATCAGAGGGCCAAACGAGTGATGGCTCTGTTCTCCTCCCTACCTCTTGATCCCCACACATTTTCAGGTCTGCTTTCTCCTTGAATATTCTCTGTAAATTTCAAATAAAACGTTTAAATGTGTTAAGCAAACTGATTCATTTTCTTCCTTCTATCATTTAGCTTGTCCACCTTTAGCCGAAATTCAAGAAACTGAATTTGCACTCTAAGGCATAAAGTCTAAACCAGAAAGATTAAATATAGATATATTCTGCTTCCATCCACAGCTGATGAAATGTTCCATGCATTAAATAATGTTTTTAGTTATTCAAATACTTACATGCTCCAATCTATTATGATTAGGTCTAAACCAATAAGGCCAATTTCAGCTAAAATTTTCAGGTTGATCAAAGCTAGGGGATTTCTACCTAGATGTGCTTCTATCATTTTTAATCTCCTTCCCTTTAATATACTAGATGTTCTCCTTTATGCATGCCCAGTACCTAAAGAAATTGTATTAATGACTAAATGGATTTTAAAATATGTACCAGGTACTGTCTATCAGACACTATTTTCCAAGAGCATTTAGGTTTTAATTCCTATGCCTTAGCCTATTATAGTCTTCCTACTGATCCCCAAATTGATCTCTAAGCTTCAACTCCCAGTACTCCCCTCCATTTATTATAAGTATGTATAAGGTGTGTCATTGGTCTAAATGGAATTAGAATAGACAGCTATGTAGATGCCCAATGAGTTCCACCATCGCCATTTGTCAGACAAATGCATTAGAAATATGAAACTATATATTTTGCATTTTGCAATCCAATTTGAAAGATGTTCTCTTAAGAAGTTAGCATAGCCCTACCCAGTTCAGCTCAGTGGTTAGAGTGTCGGCCTGCAGACTGAAAGGTCCTGGGTTTGATTCTGGTCCAGAGCACATATTATGGTTGCAGAGATCAATCCTGGGCCCAGGTCGGAAAACGTGCAGGAAGCAACCAATCGATGTTTTTTTCTCACATCAGTGTTTCTGTCTCTTTCTCTCTCCCCCCCCCCTTTCCACTCTCTGAAAAAGCAATGGAAAAAATATCCTCAGGCGAGGAGAAAAATAAAATAAAATAAAGAAGTCAGCACAAATCTAGACCAAAAATACCATTTACCCATTAATTTTTCAATTATTCTTAGGTATTTGAGAGCAATATACAAAATACAACATGACAAGATATCAGATACTTTAAGACAAGCCTTTGCTGAGTTATTTACAAGCTCCCAGCACTTACCTCTATCATCTAATTAGTAGCAGAATAAAGTAAAAGGCAGTGTATTCTTCAAAATGTCATAACTCCCAAATGTTTTTCCTGAGCCTTGGTTCAAGTACCAAGCACAGAAAAAAAATTCAGCATTTCCTGGTCTCTTTTGACAGTAATGACTCCTTCATGAGAGGTGCTCAGCTTGAAAGTTCTACTTAAATCATTATTAAGTGGTACAGGCATCCAGGAATCATGCCTTTTACGCCACCCATTCAAAATCATATTTAGTCAACATTCAGGTACTACCAGAAGTTAAGCACTCTGCTAGATACTTTCATACATACTATCTCATTTGGTTCACAAAAAAGGATTTTTTGCCTGAAACACAAGTAACATTTACACATTTCAAATTGGTTGAAATAAAGGAACTATAATGGGAATTTGATATCATGATGTCGGAGTAAATAACTTGGGAATTATACATGGCAGAAGGTACTCTTTCAATTCAGTGGATGTCCTGATGTCCTAGAGTATTTAGTCTATATATCCAGAAGGAAAAATAATAGTTTAAAAAAAAAGCGCACAATTATCCTTAGCCTGGGAGGTCTGGACAGTGTCATGTGGAATAAATGCCTCTATAAAGCATATGTGTTGACATGGACAAAAATAGGAGGACTCTTTGAACATGGAAAACCACAAACCTATTCCAAAGAGCAGAAGACTGATATGAGGAGTCCAAATGACACTATAAAACAAAGTAATTTCTAAACTGTTGCTCAGAATGTGTCATACATTTTTCAATGTAAGCCAATCAGAGGCTCACTGAGGAACGAATTTAAACAAAAACAAGGAAGGTATCTTAAGAATTGTATAAATAGCAGCTGGCCAGAGTATATAAAAGGCCCGACATAGTTCCTACCACCCAAACTCTGCCAAGCAACCCAACTCCTGACACCATGGCCTGCTGTCAAACTAGCTTCTGTGGATTTCCCAGCTGCTCCACTGCTGGGAACTGTGGCTCCAGCTGCTGCCAGCCCAGCTGCTGCCAGCCCAGCTGCTGCCAGCCAACCTGCTGCCCGACCAGCTGCTGTGGGACCGGCTGCGGGGCAGGCTGTGGGACCTGCTGTGGCACTGGCTGTGGCCAGGGTGGCTGCTGTGGAGGCGTGAGCTGCCGCACCAGGTGGTGCCGCCCTGACTGCCGCGTGGAGGACACCTGTGTGCCCCCCTGCTGTGTGGTGAGCTGCACCCCCCCAACCTGCTGCCAGCTGCACCATGCCCAGGCCTCCTGCTGCCGCCCATCCTACTGTGGACAGTCCTGCTGCCGCCCAGCCTGCTGCTGCTACTGCTGTGAGCCCACCTGCTAAAAGGCAGTTTGCTGATTCTCAATTGCTCAGGACATGGTATCTGAACAATCTATCTCCTCAACAACCCCTGAACCACTAACAAGTTATTAGACTTCTATTTGGGTTTCTGTGATGGGGGCTACCAAGCAGATGAGTTCTCTCTGATTCCACTCTACAATGAACACCTTGACTCTCCACTTCAGTCCCAGAAATGCTGTGAGCCCCCCTGCTGATCATCAAATTGCTTTGGATATACTACTCCTGATTTTCCAGCAGGGTTGGAAATTACTGCCATATTGTGGATTTCATCATTGAGAACTGTCCACAAGACTTATTTTCTCCTGCATTGTGATCTATTTTTAGCTTCTGTTTACCTAAAAAATTTCCCAACATTAGAGGCATCCATGTATAGCCAAGTGACATTCCTCAGATGTCACCAGAGAGAATGGAAGCTCTTCAACCAACATTCAGCTTCTAAGAAGTAGACTAGTCTTTTCCATATTTCAACATCTGATTCTATCCCTTTTGGGGGGGATCATAATGATCTTTCCTGTTGGCTATTTAATTATATCTGTGATTCAGTGTCTTCTGTCATTTCTTAATAAATGTTATATACTAGGCAACGAAATCCTGGTCAGTGTCTCTACTTGTACATAAAATGGGTTAACTGCTTATAGTTCAAGAATGCCGACTTGTAAGAAATACACTTGTTTCTTTTTAAAAGAAACTGAAGCCATACAGTGTATTCATTCAATAAAAATTTATTGACCACTTCTAAAACAGGGATCATGTAAATCAGAAAGATGAAGAATTAAGCCTTATTCTTGAGGACCTTACTATCCAGAAAGAAAAAGAACATGTGTGAAAATAGCTACATACAGCCCGGCCAGGCGTGGCTCAGCGGTTGAGCATCGACCTAGGATCCAGGAGATCTCGGTTCGATTCCTGGTCAGGGCACATGCCCGGGCTGCGGACTCGATCCCCAGCAGGGGGCGTGCAGGAGGCAGCCGATCAATGACTCTCATCATTGATGTTTCTATCTCTCTCTCCCTCTCCCTTCCTCTCTCTGAAATCAATAAAGATATATTTAAAAAAAGAAAAGAAAAGAACTACATACAATGTGATGAGATAAATTGTATTTTCTTAGCAGTTGGTAGGAAAAAAACTCCCTCTACCTGAGGGACAGATGCTTTTGTGACCAACATGTCTAGATATTTCACCTTACAATAAGTTCACCCATGTGGAACATGCATGTTGGCAACCCCAAAAGCTTAAAAAAAAAGGATGTTAAACAATTACACATGGACAAAAAAGAGAAATATTTCTTCCTGCAGAAAGAGAGTGAGGAGAAAAAAGAAGGAGAGACCTAGTCAGGAGGTCATGAGTATTTCTCTCTGATCCCTCCGCATTAAGCTGTCACTCACACAGTCTTTGGGGTGGTTGGCTTTCCTGCGAAAGGAGGAGCTGAGTTTCATGTCTCGGTTGACTCAAGGGAAGATGAAGACAGGCCAAGAGCCAGACAGAGCGGGGGTTGGGGGGTGACAAGACAGTAATGGCCCAGGAACCCTCAGACATTGTGCAGGAGCTCTGGATGGACTCTGCTGTGGAGATAGTATCTTAGTTACGTAAACTGCGAAGAAGACAGAAGGAACAGAAAGAGGATTTCAAAAAGGAAGAGAGCACCTCAGGACCAGCGAGGGCTGTCCTGGGGGCAGCACTAGGGATGAGTTCACAAGGGAGGTAATCTTTGAAGTGGGCCTTGAAGATCATTCTAAATGGAATGGAATGAGTGAGTTAAAAAAAGGTCAATCTACACACCTATTAATAATGGGTAAAATCCAAAGCAAAGACAACACCAAATGCTAGCAAAATGTTGGTGCAGCAGCAGGAACTCTCAGTCACTGATGGTGGGAAAGCAAAACGGTACAGTCACTTTGGAAGACAGTTGGGCTGTTTCTTACGAAGCTAATCACAGGCTTACCATACAATGCAGCGACTGTACTATTCAGTATTTACCCCCAAAAGTTGAAAACTTATGTCCATCCAAAAGCCTGCACTTGAATGTTTATAGTAGCTTCATTCATAACTGCCAAAAATCAGCAGCAACATAAATATCTCTCAATAGGTAAATAGATAAATAAACTTTGGTACATCTATTCAATAGGGTACTATTGCGTGATGAAAGGAAATGATTCATCAAACCACAAAAGGACATGGAAGAATCTTAAATGCCTGTTGCTTAATGTAAGAAGCCAATCTGAAAGGACTACATATGATGATTCCGACTATATGACATTCTGCAAAGAGCAAAACCATAGAGGCAATAAAAAGTTGCCAGCGTGTCCTGCCTACCGTGCCCTGCAGGTGCCTATAGTATGAAAAATAAATTACAGAAGTAGAGAGACATAGGACTGGCCTATGAAAGCTAAACAGAAGCCAGCTGTGAGTTTCTGAGAAAGTGTTCCTTTATTAAAAGGAGCACGCATTGCTGGTGCTCCCACTTCCTCTTCACCCCGACTTTCCCTCGAACTTTAAACACAGGTATGGTTCCTGGAGCTACAAAATGCAAGAGAATGGAAGGGCCGCTGATCCTGACACAGTTGAGCCTGTAAACCAATGCTAGCACCTACCTACCTGAGAAAAGAATAAGTTTTTTGATCAAGTCGATATTTGTTGGCTTTCCCAAAACTGGAAATCTAAAACATTCCTAACTGCTACGCTATGCAAAATGGAAACTTTCTATATATGACACCTGAGAGGATTTCAGATGCATAAACACTTCAATGATGAAAAAGGACCTCAACTGCAAATTACAAATTCTAAGCAAAAGTGGGGAGCATTTTTTTATTGAGGGTCATTGATAATATGAGTTAGATAGATAACAAAAAAGGATAGGAGAAAATATGGGGGGGTAGATTTAGGTAATAAAGGATGGAGGGGGAAAAGTAAGAAAAAAGCACAAAATAGAGGAGGGGAAAAAACATTAAAAGGACACAATGGAAAAGACAAGAAACGAGGGGCAGAAAAGGAGGGAGAGTGATGGGGAAGACACACCTGAAGGGGAAAGATAGGGGCCTATGTGACCATATGCTGTGCCACATACTAAACACATTTCATGTGAATTTCACTTCATGTAACACTTGTATCAGTCCTATGAACTAGACTTTGTTATCCTGGATTGTACACGAGGAAAATAAATCTAAGTGAAGCTTAAAAAAACTGAAGTCTGGACCCAGTTCTGACTCCAAAATTCACAGAAAATGAAATTAAGGAACTAGATGTAAAGAATAAGAGTGGGGTAGTTCAGCGGGTTTAAAGATGGCTTTTTTGGAAACTGTGGGCTTCAGAATAAGTCCCTCTTTGTGTTAAGTTATTGTCTCTCAGACCACCTGGATAATCCAGAATACTCTATTTTAAAGTCAACTAATTAGTAACCTTAATTACATCTACACAGTCCCTTTTGTTCTGTAATGTACTCATAGGTGTGAAACCAGGCCTCAGAGTTCCTGGGAACAAGAGTTCTGCCTACCACAGTGAGTATTAGACACTGTGTTGACATGAATTCCTAGAGACCCTAAATGTTACTTCAGCCCACTAATGAAAGTGGTGGCTTATGGTGGCCAGGTCAAAGTTAAAGTCTTAGCCCACATTTTAATCCCAGTAGACCCAGTCGGTCCAGAGATCAATTCCCCAGTTTGTGGATATAGAATTGGAATACTCATGCTTGACAATTGGCAGAATCCCACATTAGCAAAGCTCATATGGTAGGGAGGGCCAAGGAAGGTCTCCTTGTCACATGAGTAGTAAACCAAAAATGGTACTATCTCCATGGGGAAATTTGGAAATCGAGCGCCATGATCAGAGGCTTGAATAAAGCCAGGTGGTGATATCTACCATCTCTCCACTTATGTACTTGCTCGTCCTGTGGAAAGAGTAGACAGATCTTAGAGAGTAACAGAATAATAATTATTATTATTTTTTAACTAATTTAGGTAGCAGCCCCAATTGAAACTGATGTTCCAGATGGAGTATCTTTAATGAAACAAAGCAGCACAGCCCCAGCACCTGGTATGCAGCTTTTAACTGAAAAATGCCTTTTTTTCCATATCAGTTTGCAAGGACCATGAGAAGTAGTTTGCCCTTACCTGGTGTGACTAACAGTAACTTTCCAAGTGTTGCCTCAGGGCTATGTCAGCTCCTCTGCCCTCTGTTATAATGTACTCAGGAGAGATCTTAATAACCTTGACACACCACACAACATCCTATCAGTACCCTACATTGATGACATCATGCTAATTGTCTTAGTAAAACATATGTGGACTCCAGGTTAGGAGAGAAACCCCACAAAAATTAAGGACTTTACAACCTCAGCGAAGTTTCTTGGACTCAAATTGTCTAGAACCTGTTGAGATTTCATTCCCAAGGTGAAAGAAATATTGTTGCACTATGAACTATCTCCACTTAGAAAAGCACAGTTTTGGGTGGGCTTTTTTGGGGGGCTTTTGAAGTCAACATATACTACTTTAACACATTTACTGATAACCTGAAAAAGACGGTACACCACTGTGGACTCAGATCTCTCAGAAACGATTTAAATCACCCTCAGAGGGTAAAGAACCCCAGCCAGCTGAGGTCCTGGCTGAGGGCAAAGAAAATACCAAATGGGTAGTGGGAGAAGGGAGTTACACATATGAACTACAGCCTTGCCATCAGTCAGAAAGAAAGGATTATAGGAACTATGGATATTTCCTCCCGTGCTTACTTTTCTTCTCTTGTTTTCCTTCCCTTGCCCATTGTCATCTGCTGTACCACAAGCCAAGCAAACGTCACATGGACCTACTTTCATTTAATACTTACATCAGTCCTGTGAAATATTTTTGTCTTGGTTTTGTCGATGAGTAAATTAAGCCTACAGGAGACTAAATGAATTGCAATCAGGTAGATATCTGCACTCCCATGCTCGCTGCAGCATTAGTCACAATAGCCACGGCGTGAAAGCAACATCAGCATCCATCTGCGGA